CCCAGGATGGGCAGACTGAGAGAGAATACTTGCAACTAAATTATTTTTCTTCAAGTCAGAATAGAGTAGAATAGTGTTTCTCAACTCAGCAAGATGGCTGGCTAGGGAATTCTGGGAATCGAAGCCCACAAATCGTCACGTTGCTGAGGTTGACACACACTTTGTGACACATACGAAGAAAGTCCTGGGATGGGAAGATTGTGAGGGAATATTTACAAGTAAAATCTTTCACCGGGTATCTCAGCCGCTTATACACCTCTGCCGCAGGGCCTCTTTGGGAATTAACTCAGAGGTGGCTCCTATTTGAGTAATGCTGGGAAGAAAAAATATTGTAATTTGGCCTCCCTGTTCTTTGAGGGCTGGTCGGTTTCAAGGCAATTGTCTCTTCTCACCTTCCTTCTGAAGTCTTGGGATAATTGGGTGGGAAGTAAAGTCAGTCTGCTGATGTTTTAATCCAGGGGTGGGGAATGAGGGCTCCTTTGATGACTTGTGGACTTCAACTCCCAGAATTCCTGAGCCAGCCAACTTCAGATGGGTTGGATCAAGGCTCCTGTCATCTCCAGTCTACGAAGAAAGGAATCCTGTTGGGATCTTTGAACTTCCAAAAATCCTGTTGGAATTTTTGAGAGTTGGTGCCATCAGTCACAGTTGAGCAGTTTCTTCTTTTTGTAGCTTTTCCTTCCTTCCTTCCTTCCTTCCTTCCTTCCTTCCTTCCTTCCTTCCTTCCTTCCTTCCTTCCTTCCTTCTTCGCTCCCTCCCTCCCTTCCTCCCCCACCTTCCTTCTTTCCTTCCTTCCTTCTCTCCCTCCTTCTTTCTTCCTCCCTCCCTCCCCACCTTCCTTCCCTCCTTCCTTCCTCACTCTCTTCCTTCCTTCCCACATCCATCTCTTTGTTCCTCCCTTTCTTTTTCTTTCTCTTTCTCTTACATTCGCTTTTTCTACTTTTCTCTCTCTTTACTTTTCTCTTTCTTTCCTTTCTTTTTCTCTGTCTCTTTTTCTTTCTCTCTATTTTTGTTTTCTAATTTTCTTTTCTATCTTTCCTTCCTCCTTCCTTCCTTTTTTCCTTAATTTCATTATTTTTCTTTCTTCCTCCCTCTTCCTCTCTCTCTATACACACACACACACACACACACACACACACACACACTCCACTTTGCCAACTGGTTCCCTGGCGCTGAGGAGTTTCTGGGCACCTTGCCTTGCAAGAATCTCCCTTCTTGCTATCCAGTTGGGAGATGAAAGCTGCCCCTCCTCCTCCTCCTTCCCCCCCCTCCCCAATTTGGAGGGATTTACCTGGGAACAAAGCCCTCAGTGCCAGCCTGGAATCTCAAGCAGCTGCTACTTGCTCAGCTGCTGCGGGCCTTTCATATCCTGCATCGCCTCCTCCCTTCACCCCCCCATCGCTGTAGAGGCAAAGAACAGCTTTATTTCTCTCCTGCCTCCCCCCCCCCCCGCCGCCCCTCTACCCCAGCACATATTTATTCAAGATTGCCTTAAGAGGGGCCAGAGGCATATAATAACTGTCTGACATTGTATAGGAGAAAGGGGAAGGATGTTGGCTGGGCTGGAGTGAATTTGCCAGTTTACCACATCCAGAGGGGAAGACAGAAGATTCTTTCTCTTATAGTTGGAGGCCTGGATAATACACTCTGCTTTCAAAAGCACTTTGGAAATACTTGTCCCTGTACAGGATTCTGCGTATTTCCACAGTCAAGAAGGGAAGATTTTAACAGGACTGCAAAACAAGCCCATTTGACCATCCCTTGGCTTGGGTGCAGTTTTTAGCACTGCATGCATGGATGCAAAATTAAGACCCTCTTTCCTTTTCTTTTCAAATACTTAAAAGGGAACGCCTAGAAATCTAGACTGGCAGTTTTAGCACCTGGCAGCTGCAGTTTTAGCACCTGGCCTAGTTAGCTCTTGGATGGGAGACCACTGGGAAATTCCCGAATGTAGGTGAACTTGGAAAGACAAGGCAAGCACCCTGAAAGAAAGCAATGCCAAGTCCAGGGGCATCTCTGTGGAATTGATTTTGACTGAAAAGACATGACTCGTTTTACAGCCTCCTCTTTGCCAAAAGGGAATGATGGTTACTCTTTTGAACTGTGCTTTTAACTGCGTTTTAAATTTGTTTTAAAAAACTGATGGTTTTTAATTGTACTTTTGGTCACGTTTTTATATTATTTTATGATGTTATTTGTAAACTGCCCAAGAGTCACTTAGTGAGATGGATTGTGTAGAAACTAGAGATAGATAGATAGATAGATAGATAGATAGATAGATAGATAGATAGATAGATAGAAATGGATGAGTGAATGGATGGATGGGTAGATGGATGGATGGACAATAGGGGAATGGATAGATGGATGGATAGGTAGATAGATAGATAGACAGACAGACAGATAGATAGATAGCAAGGGATGAGTGGATGGATGGATGGACAATAGAGGAATGGATAGATAGATAGATAGATAGATAGATAGCAATGGATGAGTGGATGGATGGATGGACAATAGGGGAATAGATAGATAGATAGATAGATAGATAGATAGATAGATAGATAGATAGATAGATAGCAATGGATGAGTGGATGGATGGATGGACAATAGGGGAATAAATAGATGGATGGATGATAGATAGATAGATAGATAGACAGACAGACAGATAGATAGATAGCAAGGGATGAGTGGATGGATGGATGGACAATAGAGGAATGGATAGATAGATAGATAGATAGACAGATAGATAGATAGATAGATAGATAGCAATGGATGAGTGGATGGATGGATGGACAATAGGGGAATAGATAGATAGATAGATAGATAGATAGATAGATAGATAGATAGATAGCAATGGATGAGTGGATGGATGGATGGACAATAGGGGAATAAATAGATGGATGGATGATAGATAGATAGATAGATAGATAGATAGATAGATAGATAGATAGATAGATAGATAGCAATGGATGAGTGGATGGATGGATGGACAATAGGGGAATAGATGGATGGATGATAGATAGATAGATAGATAGATAGATAGATAGATAGATAGATAGATAGATAGATAGATAGCAATGGATGAGTGGATGGATGGATGGACAATAGAGGAATGGATAGATGGATGGATGGATGGATAGATAGATAGATAGATAGATAGATAGATAGATAGATAGATAGATAGATAGATAGCAGTGGACGAGTGGATGGATGGATGAATGGACAATAAGGAATGGATAGATGGATAATGAATGGGTGATAGACAGACAGACAGACACTACATGCCTATTGCAGCAGCTGTGGTCTCATTGACAAACGTAACCTTTTGCAAGTGATCAGGCTACCTCTGGGGGAGAACTTAAGTGATCCTTCCATGTTGCATCCAGCAGCTCAGAAGAGAAGCTGAGAAGATCTCCCCAAAGTGCCAGAGTCTGAACAGGTGCTGACCCCAAGTAGACCTATTAACTACCCAGGGAGGAACTGCGGGAATTGCAAATTAATACCATTTCATTTTCATTTAAATTTAAATTTGTCCCTTCCCTCAAAGCATTCCCATTTCTATAATTCTGCAAGCTGAGCAGCGGCTACCGCTGGGCTCAGCACCAAATGCTGGGTCGCTGGATGTGTGCAAGCTGAAAAATTTGAAGGGTTTGGCGGCGTGCGCCGCTGGCCTTTTGAATGGAGACCTCAGACGTGGCCAAGGATGTGGTTTGTGGAGAAGAAACTAGGCAGCTTTCTGTTGCAAAGAGAAGGCAGAATAAAATGATGTGCATTTTCCATTTCAAACGGGCTCTTTAACTGGACCGGCTGCCAGATATTTTTAGCAAGGCTGAAGGAAAGGAAGCTGATATTAATCTCCAGCTACAAAACTGGGAAGGCAGCCGGGCTTTTCAGCTGCAAAGTCCCAGCATCCAAGGACAGAAAACGGGCAGCTTGCACGTTTTGTGAGTAAATTTGGCTTACCCATCCAAAATTTCGCAGAACAAAAAGGAAAGTTTTCTGTTCTTTTTTTTTTTTTAACGTGAAAAATGGACAGTCCTATCGTCTCTGTGAGGAATGACAGACTTCTCTTTGGATAGATGCAGAATCTAGAGCAGTGGTTCTCAACCTGTGGGTCGGGACCCCATTTGGGGTCGAACGACCATTTCACGGGGGTCGTCAAACAATGCAGTCCGCCATTTTTTTTCCTCTTTTCCTTAGCTGTGCTACTCCCTTTTATTCTATTGGCTTTTGAAAGCCAATAGAATAGACTCTCTTGAATAGAGTCTAATTCTATTGGCTTTCAAAAGCCAATAGGAATTGTCCAGGCTGTCTCTGCCCTGCTGAGCCCGCCAAAAGTCCCATTCTGCAAACGGTGCTGCACCAGTTGAGTAGTCCTCGACTTATGACCGGTTGAGTAGTCCTCGACTTACGACCGGTTGGGGGTCACGGCATTAAAAAGGTTGAGAACCACTGATCTAGAGTGTTTCTCGAGCTTGGCCATTTTAAATGGGGTAGACTTCAACTCCCAGGATTCCCCAGCCAGCCAATGGCTGGCTGGGGAATTCTGGGAGTTGAAGTCCACCCATCTTAAAGTCCCTTTTCTTCCTTTATGGGGGAGTTGCAATTCAGGTCCCCCGCTTTGCTTCTCCTGACCCAAACTTCTGTGGATTGCAGTAACCACAGCAATGGGGCAGCTTCCTAAGGCTGTAATTGCCTGAAAAATTCATAAGGCAACAGCACCAAAAACCTGATCCAAATTAGACAGAAGGACCAGTTTAGGCTATCTGGCTAAACTGGCCCTCTGAAGATTGCTCCAAACACTGGTTTGGAGAGAAGAAGCCAGGAACCAAGCAGAGGAAGCAACTGGTGATCCTATCACGGGATTTCTGGAAGGCCTTCATGCCAAACAGAGCTAGACTTTGAGCAAAACTTCTCCAGAACTTCCTTAGTCAAGCCAGGAGCTTCCGAGGTCCTCTGATGTTTGTTGAGTCCTTCTGATCGTCCTTTCTTCTCCCATGCAGGATGCCAGGCCAAGGTCCAGGTTTCTATGGTGGCCGAGATGGAGGTGGTTATGGGCCAGCAGGTGCCCATTTTCTGCTCTTACACAGGGATGGGAGAGCAGGATTACCTCCTGGTAGAATGGTTTACTGTGAGTATTCTGTGTTTGCCAAGGACAACAGGGCACGGGAGTGTTGGGGGGTCTCGGATGAAATCCCCCTCTCTCTAGGAGCAGAGGCTTTCCTTAAAGGTTGGAGAAATCCATAACTATGTAAAACTTCCAGCTGGACAAGAACGGGGAGCAGCGGCGTGTGGCGTACAACGAGAAGGGCAAGGTCGGCATGGACAGAGGAACGGAGTATACGGACCGCGTCTTCATGGATGCCAACAACAGCCTGGTCATCACTGCCATCGACGTGAACGATGAAAAATTCTTCTCTTGCCAAGTCACCAGCGGTTCCGGAAGTGACACTGGAAGGACTCAACTCAAGGTCTTCGGTAATAAGAGCATTTATATTGATTATTTATATCCCGCCAATACTATTTTTATAAATAACTCAAGGAAGCAGACATTTAGTACTCCTTCCTCCTTCTGTTTTCCCCACAAGAATCCTGCGAGGTGGGCTGAGCAGAGAGAATGGGACTGGCCCATTCATGGCTAATGTGGGACTAGAACTCCCACTCTCCTGGTGATTGGCTCAAAGTCTCCCCTCTGGCTTTTGTGCCTAGGGCAGAACTAGAATTCACAATCTCCTGTTGGTCCAAAGTCTCCCATCTGGCTTTCATGCCTAAGGCGGGACTAGAACTCACTGTCGCCTGCTGATTGGCTCAAAGTCTCCCATCTGGCTTTCATGCCTAAGGCAGGACTAGAACTCACTGTCGCCTGCTGATTGGCTGAAAGTCTCCCATCTGGCTTTCATGCCTAAGGCGGGACTAGAACTCACTGTCTCCTGCTGATTGGCTGAAAGTCTCCCATCTGGCTTTCATGCCTAAGGCGGGACTAGAACTCACTGTCGCCTGCTGATTGGCTCAAAGTCTCCCATCTGGCTTTCACGCTTCAGGTGGGACTAGAATTCCCTGTCTCCTGGTGATTAGCCCCAAGTCACCCCCTCCTCCATTTTAAGCTCTTCCTACAATTCCCAGTTTCTCTTTCCCATCTGCTGTGAACCCATATCTCCCCCATTCGCCTTCCTTCATTTGCTTTGCTCCTGCGAAGAGGTGCTTAAAAACAGCAGCTGTGTTTGCCCAGCACCTTCATTGCTGACAAACGGAAAACACTCCATCATTTCCCTTCTCTGATAAAACAGCAATGGCGGAATTTTAAATTCCTGGAATCTCCGCTCAGGTTTATTACTTTCCTGGGCAGTTTTTTTCTTTGAGTGGAAGGTTTGTTTTATCATTTTCAGCTCTCTGCCAGGCAAAAGCGTTGGTTTTTCAAGTGTAGGTCAGTCTTGGATCCATCCATCCATCCATCCATCCATCCATCCTTTTGCCGTCTCTCTGCATCTCTCTCTCTTTCTCTCTTTATAGATCCACCCGAACCACCAGAGCTGACACGTAACTCCGGGACCCTTTCTGTGACCGCTGACGTTGCTTTGGAGGTGAGCTTGTTTCTCTTTAAATGCAGGGAGTTCGTTTACAGGTGGTCCTCGACTTACAACAGTTCATTTACCGACCGTCTGAAGTTACGACGACCCTGAAAAAAGTGGCTTTTGACCGTTTTTCACGCTTGCAACCGTTTGCTGCCTCCGCTCTATGGTCACGTGATCAAAATTCCGACGCTTGGCAACTGGCGTGTACTTAGGACAGTTGCAGCATCCCCAGGATCACGTGATTCCCGTTTGCACCCTTCGGACAAGCAAAGTAAATGGGGACGCCAGATTTGTTTAACAACCGTGTTACTCTCTTATCAACTGCAGTGATGCCCTTAACAACTGCGGCAAGAAAAGTCTCAAGACGGGGCAAAACTCACTTAACAATTGTCTCGCTTAGCTGCAGAAATTGTGGTCTCAGGTTGAGGATTATCTGCTTTTGACCTGTTTTTTTTTTTTTTTTTTTTGGAGGGGTGGGAAGCACCGAAGTTGTTGTTCTTTATTAGTTTTTGAAAGTAAAAGAATTGCTATTTGCAAATGGTCTTTAAGGGCAGGAATGGGCCAGTGCAGGGGTAGGCAACCTTGGCTCTTTTATGACTGGTGGACTTCAACTCCCAGAATTCCTGAGCCAGCATGGCTCAGCATGGAAACCCCTCCCTTTTCCCTCAGCATGGCTGGCTCAGGAATTCTGGGAGTTGAAGTCCACCAGTCATAAAAGAGCCAAGGTTGCCTACCTCTGGGCCACTGTTAAATGGGCATGGGCTATAATTCAAAATTCAGAAGGTTGGGGGCTATAAAGTACGGGAGAACATATACAGGTGAACTTCAGTTGGTTTTGAGGAGGGGGGATTTTAAAGAGTCTTTGTTTCTTAGGATGGCCCCCTTTAACAGTTTTGAGCAATTCTATTCAGAGGGCTCCGAATTCTGTGTAAAAGAGACAGGAGTTACAAGTGCCCCATCTTAGTAGCCCACAGTTTACAAACATCTGTAAATATACAAAGGATGAGCAGATTCCCAGAGTGCATCTCCAGAGGTGAGAGGGTGCGTGTGAAAAAAAGTCAAGATGGAAGCTAGGATTAAGTTGCCCCATTTTTATAGGTGTGGCATTCATGATAAAAAGGCAAGGTTTTTGGTTGTGGAATAACAGGGGCCCTCTTGGCTTTTCACACATATACACCCACTATGGAAATCCCAGGACTTGCTAAGACCTTTCTAGCGGCTGTTTCTTGTCCTTCCTCAGATTGCAATGTGCACAGGCAAAAATGGTTACCCTGCACCAGCCATCAGCTGGTACAAAGATGGGCACCTTCTGAATATTACCACCGAACACAACAAAGGTAAAGAAGCTGTTCCTTCTTTGTTCATTGAGTTTAAGGAGGGACATCCAGGTCTTCCCCCAGAGGGGTCTCAGATTGACAGACCATAAAGAGATACTCTTTACTTGGCTGTTCGGACAATTTTGTACAATAGGAAAAAATGGCAGAGAGAGAGACAGACAGACAGACACACACACAGAGAGACAGACACACACAGAGAGAGACAGACAGAGAGAGAGAGAGAGAGAGAGAGACAGACAGACAGATAGACAGACTGATATGGATGAATGGATGAATGGAGAGATGGATGGAGGGAGAGAGAAAGATAGAGAGGAATAAATGGATGTTAGATGGATTGATGAATGGATAAATGGATGATAGATAGGATGGATAGAGAAAGACATAAAGATAGATAAGAAATATTAGATTAGATAATAAGATAGATAAGAGATAAAGATTAGATAGATAACGTAGATAAACTAAATTAGATCAGATAGATAGATTAGATAGATAGACAATAGCTAGAAGATAGATTAGATAAGTAAGATAGATAAATAAATTAGATAGGCAGATGGATGGACGAACAGGGATAGATTTTCAAGAATAGCCAGATCAGGCTGGGGCTGTGGAGAAAACAATTGCAAGCAACTGTTTTAAACAGGAACATCTATGCTTCTAAAGGAATTGCCCCATGCTCTGATACTCTCAACCTCAGCAAATTTAGGTTGTGTGGCCTTCAACTCCCAGAATTCCCCAGGTTGAGAAACACGGTTCTGATATGATGAGGGAGAGACCCACCACCCTTGTGTAAGAGGGGTGACTTGTCAATACACAGTTGCAGCTGCCCCCTTGATTTTTTTTTTCTGACACAAATACATCTGGAGCCCACAGAGGGATTTTAAAAAAAAACACACCTTCTGTCTGGACACACTGTGTGCAATCGGGACGTTCCCTGTTGTGAAGCTCATTTTTATTGTGTTGTCTTTCCACCCCCCCCCCCAGAACTCTACGAGGTGGTGAGGACAGTGAAAGAAGCCTCGGGACTATATTCCAGGTCCAGCACGCTTTACATGCGCCCCAAGAAGGAAGATAAAAACTCCACTTTCCAATGCAAAGTCAGCTACAAGATGCCGAACGGGAAAGTCGGCACCGAGGAATCACAGCCTTTCAATCTCACCTTGCACTGTAAGTGGGGGGGGAGCTGGGGGGTAGGGGGCTCTTGGTTTTGTTCTCCTGTAGCCCCCGCCCATCTTTCCAGCAGATGGGCAGTGCTGATCAATCACAGAATTCAAAATAACCACTGCTCTGGCTACTAACCGACCGTGGGCTTCTCCTGGACTTACCACTACAATTGAGCTCCCAAATTTCTGTTGCTAAAAGAAATAGTTAAGTGAGTTTTGTTCCATTTCACCAAGGTAAATCCCTGCGGTTGTTAAGTTAGTAACCTGGTTGTTAAGTGAAGTTGGCTTCCCCATTGACTTTGCTTCTCAAGAGGTTGCAAAAAGGGGTCACATGACCCCGGGGATGCCGCAACCGTCATAAATACGAACTAGTTGCTAAAGGATGTGGCTTTCAATATTATCTGCCCAAGATTTTGACGCAGCTTCTGGTTTTGTTAAAGATTCAACAGGATGAAGATAACCACAGTCTATTTAGGGATGGTGGATTCTAGTCCAGGGGTCTCCAAACGTGGCAACTTTAAGGCTGGGGACTTCAACTCCCAGAATTCCCATGGGTGGCTGAGGAATTCTGGGAGTTGAAGTCCACAAGTCTTAAAGTTGTCACGTTTGGAGACCCCTGGTCTAAACTATGAAATGGCTTTCCTGGATCTTTTTGTCTAGCAATTTTCTCTTGTAATAGGCAAGTTCAGCCTGGGTAAAAAAGCCCACCAGAGATGTGGAACCTCAACACCCAGAATCCTTAGCGGTGCATCTGCTGCTAGGAATTCTGGGAGTTGACACGCACCCCCTCTGGAGAAGGCCCAAGTTGGCAAAAGCAAGAATCATAACGTATCTGACTTTTGGTTTTGCTGTTACTATCTTATTATTTTTATTGTGTTTTCTTTTCAAACACCGGATTCTTTGTGGAGCTTCTAATGTTTGTTTACGTGGGGGTGAAAGTACAAATGTGTAAAGATCTTTACACAATCTAGACGGGTCAGCAAGCTTTTTATTTCCTGAGGTCTTGTTGATGAATTGGATGGGTTATTTTGCTGCAGTTGTTTCAGCTGTCTTGCAAACGGTGGTGTTTTTTTTTTTAAATTTCGCTAACTCATTGTGAAGGATTTTTTTAAAGCGTCATACAGGTAGCCCTTGACTTATGACCACAATTGAGCCCAACGTTTCTGAAACCTTTGTTAAGTGAATTTTGCCCCATTTTATGGCCTTTCTTTAACCACAGTTATTAAACGAATCCTTGTAGTTATTAAGTTAGTGACATAATTGTTAAGCGAATCTGGCTTCCCCATTGACTTGTTTGTCAGATGATCGCCAAAGGGAATCACATGGCCCCGGGGGTCACTGTGACCATCATAAGTAAGAGCCGAGGTGGCGCAGCAGTTAGAGTGCAGTACTGCAGGCCACTTTAACTGACTGTGTTCAGCAGGTCAGCGGTTCAAATCTCACCGGCTCAAGGTTGACTCAGCCTTCCATCCTTCCGGGGTAGGTAAAATGAGGACCCAGATTGTTGGGGGCAATGTAAATATATATATACATTGCTTACTGGTGTACACCGCTTAGAGAGTGCTTGCACTTAAAGCGGTATATAAGTCTCATAAAATAAATAAATAAATAAATAAGAGTCAGTTGCCAAGTGTCTGAATTTTAATCACGTGACCCTGGGGGTACTGCAGTGGTCATAAGTATGAAAAATGGTCATAAGTCACTTATTTCAATGCCATTATAACTTCAAACAGTAAATCAACAAACTGTTCTAAGTCCAGGACTAAGTGTAGTTGTTTTTCAGTCTAATACAAATATATTATACATAGGAATGTATGCATGTGTCTGTCTGTACAGATGCGCACACATACACACACAAACACAGAGAGAGAGAGAGAGAGAGAGAGAGAGAGCTAAAGCCACCAAAATTGGGACTGGCTACTTGGTCATTAAGTGAAGCAGTCGCTAAATGAATCGGTGGCTCCTCTTTTGATCTTCCTTTCTCTCTCTTTTGAACGCTGGCTGGGGAATTCTGGGACTCCGTACATCTCGATGTTGCTGAGATTGAGCAACACTGCTTTACAGATCCGCAACAATAACCCGTGCGAGGATTGGTTGCAAAATTACTCTTTCATCACTGGTGTTAGGGCAGATGGTCGCTAAGCAAGTCAGCTGCTAACTGAATTACCACCTTTATCCACACATGCACCCCAACAATAAAACTTTTGAATTATAATTCCTGGAACACTCAGTTTTCATGGCTGTTTCCTTCCTTCACCTATCCTAGATTATACCGAGAACGTGCAGTTTGCTTTGGACTCTCCAAAAGTCATCAAAGAGGGGGACGATGTGCAGCTGCGATGTCAGGGCGACGGTTTCCCCCCACCCGAATATTCCTTCAGCAAAGTGCAGGTACTGCTTGGTCCGATCCTAGTTCCTTCCCCCCCCCCCCGAGGAAGGAGAATTAGGTTGGTATTTGTTGGCGGTCCATTTTGCTCTATGAGTTCATGGTAACCTAACCCTAAGTGGAATTTTCCTTCTATGGGATTTTCCCATGTATTTTACCAGGAAACATAGATAGGGCAGCCTAGAAAAGTCAGTGCCCTCCTAACCATACCCAAGCACTCGGAGTTTGTTGGCAAAGTCCATTTTGCTCTAGGAGTTCATGGTGACCTAACCCTAACCCTAAGTGGAATTTTCCCCCAATGGGATTTTCTCATGTATTTTACCAGAAAACATAGAGAAGGCAGCCCAGAAAAGTCAGTGCCCTCCTAACCATACCCAAGCACTCCGAGTTTGTTGGCAAAGTCCATTTTGCTCTAGGAGTTCATGGTGACCTAACCCTAACCCTAAGTGGAATTTTCCTCCAATGGGATTTTCCCATGTATTTTACCAGGAAACATAGATTGGTCAGCCTAGAAAAGTCAGTGCCCTCCTAACCATACCCAAGCACTCCGAATTTGTTGGCGAAGTCCATTTTGCTCTAGGAGTTCATGGTGACCTAACCCTAACCCTAAGTGGAATTTTCCCCCAATGGGATTTTCCCATGTATTTTACCAGAAACATAGAGAAGGCAGCCTAGAAAAGTCAGTGCCCTCCTAACCATACCCAAGCACTCCGAATTTGTTGGCAAAGTCCATTTTGCTCTAGGAGTTCATGGTGACCTAACCCTAACCCTAAGTGGAATTTTCCCCCAATGGGATTTTCCATGTATTTTACCAGAAAACATAGAGAAGGCAGCCCAGAAAAGTCAGTGCCCTCCTAACCATACCCAAGCACTCCGAGTTTGTTGGCAAAGTCCATTTTGCTCTAGGAGTTCATGGTGACCTAACCCTAACCCTAAGTGGAATTTTCCTCCAATGGGATTTTCCCATGTATTTTACCAGGAAACATAGATTGGTCAGCCTAGAAAAGTCAGTGCCCTCCTAACCATACCCAAGCACTCCGAATTTGTTGGCGAAGTCCATTTTGCTCTAGGAGTTCATGGTGACCTAACCCTAACCCTAAGTGGAATTTTCCCCCAATGGGATTTTCTCATGTATTTTACCAGAAAACATAGAGAAGGCAGCCTAGAAAAGTCAGTGCCCTCCTAACCATACCCAAGCACTCCGAGTTTGTTGGCAAAGTCCATTTTGCTCTAGGAGTTCATGGTGACCTAACCCTAACCCTAAGTGGAATTTTCCTCCAATGGGATTTTCCCATGTATTTTACCAGGAAACATAGATTGGTCAGCCTAGAAAAGTCAGTGCCCTCCTAACCATACCCAAGCACTCCGAATTTGTTGGCGAAGTCCATTTTGCTCTAGGAGTTCAGTGACCTAACCCTAACCCTAAGTGGAATTTTCCCCAATGGGGTTTTCCCATGTAGTTTTCCAGAAAACATAGATAGGGCAGCCTAGAAAAGTCAGTGCCCTCCTAACCATCCCAAGCACTCCAAGTTTGTTGGCAATGTCCATTTTACTCTGAGTTCATGGTGACCTAACCCTAACCCTAAGTGGAATTTTCCTCCAATGGGATTTTCCCATGTATTTTACCAGGAAACATAGATTGGTCAGCCTAGAAAAGTCAGTGCCCTCCTAACCATACCCAAGCACTCCGAATTTGTTGGCGAAGTCCATTTTGCTCTAGGAATTCATGGTGACCTAACCCTAACCCTAAGTGGAATTTTCCCCCAATGGGATTTTCTCATGTATTTTACCAGAAAACATAGAGAAGGCAGCCTAGAAAAGTCAGTGCCCTCCTAACCATACCCAAGCACTCCGAGTTTATTGGCGAAGTCCATTTTGCTCTATGAGTTCATGGTGACCTAACCCTAACCCTAAGTGGAATTTTCCCCCAATGGGATTTTCCCATGTATTTTACCAGGAAAGATAGATAGGGCAGCCTAGAAAAGTCAGTGCCCTCCTAACCATACCCAAGCACTCTGAGTTTGTTGGTGATGTCCATTTTGCTTTCCGAGTTCATGGTGACATAATTGTAACCCTAATGAGTTTCCTGCCTGAGCAGGGGGTTGGACTAGAAGACCTCCAAGGTCCCTTCCAACTCTGTTTATTCTATTCTACTGTACTGTACTGTACTGTACTCTACTGTACTGTACTCTACTCTACTCTACTCTACTCTACTCTACTCTATTCTAAATTGTTCAAAATGGACTTTGAGACCATTCAGCTTTGAATGGTCACTAAAGGGATAATTGTATGTTGAGGACTACCTATGTACCTACCTGCTTCTTCTTCCCAGACTTCCAATAACCTGTTGGACCTGCCCACCACCACCGATGGTGTCCTTCTTCTTCCTCAAGTGACCAAGGCTGATAGTGGGACCTACCGCTGTCAGGTATTGGACTTCTATAGTCCCTCCGAGGTGGAACTAGAGAAGGACGTGAGCATCTTCATCAATTGTGAGTAGCCCATGGAATGCTGGGAGAAAGGCCCAGGCCCAACCCTCCTTTTCGTCCTCCAGTTGCTAATTAAAATTAAGCCTTGTCTGCTGGCTTTCAGATCTGGACCCTCTGGTCCTAAATCCAAGCAAGATGGTGAAAGTAAACCGAAGTGAAGACCTTCAGTTGACGTGTTCTGGCAGTGGCTCCATGACGCCCACCTTGTCATGGAAGAAGGTAGGTAGAATCTGCCAGGGCTTCCTTCATAAATAACACATCTGCCAGATCACGGCCTGGATCAATGATGGCATCCATAGTCAGGACATATTTAAAATCCTGAGAGGGTGCGTTCCCATAACTGGCTGCCCCAGGAAATTTTTATACAGTAGTCCTGTCATGCGCCAGGGAAAACAGAAGATCCAGGCAAATCAAATGGGCATAAAAGTTTATTGTAAGCTAGTGTTGTCTACAAAAATCTGAACTACTAACAGTCCAAGCAAATTGGTGGTAAATAAGGAATTCATGGTGGGATGGACTTAGATCTCTTGTGGGCATGAAGGACTCATGACTGATGATGCATTTGATCTCTCCCTTGGGCTCAGCCTAAAAGTCCTTAGTTAATTAGCACAGGTGGGATCAGCAACCTGGTCACTAAATGAGGCGTTTGCTAAGAGGGAAATCACGTAATTGCTTACGATTTTACTTCAGCTTTAATTCCCCCCCCCCTCTCCTGCCCGTTAGAATGCTTACCTTGGTGCTGGGATAATTATCAAGAAGGATATTAATTTTTTGTATTTACAATTATTGGAGAGAAAGGGACTAGAAGAGAGTAAGCAGATACACAATGGGGAATATACATTGAAAGGAATGGTTCTACTGTCTTCTGATCCCTTCCTCTACAATCCCTCCATTCTGCCAGGTGGATCAGACACACAAGAGATTTCTAAAGAGATAAGAATGGTATCTGGGTACTCAACTGCTTTGAAACTCCTCAAATTTAGTACTCAATGCATTTTGATGAAAAATTTTTGCCCCTTGTTGTTTGTTTGGTACTGAACATGCAAGTTGGAATTTATGGGTGTCAGTTTCCCCTTTCCAGCCAATAAATTAGTCATGCAGTAGTTCTGTGGTCATTTTATGTACTTTTGGACTTTTTGTCTCATCAGTACGGGTAACGTGGAGTTTTTAATTTTATTTAATCTAAGTATTAATTTTTAGGTTTATTTCTCATGTAAGTGATGATGTACCATCCTACCTTCTTACATATTGCCTTAAAAATGGGCATTGTCTTTGGGAATGTATTAAATTTATTTACATTAATCCTTATGGGAAAAAATTGGTACTCATCGTTTTTGGTATTAATCATGCCTCTCGGAAGCAATTGATGACGCTTAACCAAATTACCACTATATATACTCTGGGGGATGGGGAATGGTTTGGATCCTTACTGCTTTGGATACCAGTTTTCATGCTGATTTTGCAAACCAAAAGCCACTGTGATCTCTAATAGCAAGGGCTCCAAAAAGAATCCATCGCCCCATTTCCCACCGGCAAATTTTATGGAAAGATACAAGCTCACAAAAACTGGCGAGTTTCCATTAAATTTCCTACCATGGTTTTGAGATACGGACCCCGGAAGCAAAGAGGGGACCCCCGTTCTGCAGCTTGCGTTTGATTGAATTGAGTTTTTTTTTTATCTCTTCTGGAGGACCGGAGGCAGGGAATCACATCTGGGGTAACAGCAGCAATTTTTTTTCCTTAATTTCTCCCGCAGGGAAGACAGCAGATGGCGAGCGGCGGGACTCTGTCGCTGGAAGGGCTGACATTCCCCATGGCCGGCACCTACGTCTGTGAGGCTTCTGTGCCCAGCATCTCCGGACTGAAACGGAACGAGTCAATCCAAGTTATTGTAGAAGGTAGGTCGGTAGTGGTGTTTGTGTGTAGGTGTGTGTGGGTGTGAATGAGTGAAGGAGGCGAAATGGAACTGGAGGGAGGGTGCAGGAAAGAAAGATGCTGCAATCAGTAATAATAATAATAAGCATTCCACTTAGCTTACTTAATCTACTATTCGCATTTTTGGGGAGTCCAGCCTTAAAGCCTTGAGCACTGGGATGCTGGAATAACAGAGTTGGAAGGGACCTTGGAGGTCTACTAGTCCAACCCCCCGCTCAGGCAGGAGACCCTATACCATTTTGGACAAATGGCTGTCCAATCTCTTCTTAAAAATCTCCAATGTTGGAGCACCCACAACGTCTCTCTTTCTTTCTTTCTTTCTTTCTTTCTTTCTTTCTTTCTTTCTTTCTTTCTTTCTTTCTTTCTTTCTTTCTTTCTTTCTTTCTTTCTTTCTTTCTCATACAGGAAAGCCAGAGGTAGAGGTGCACCAAACCATCATGCAAGATCTGGACCAGACAGTGAAGGTCACCTGTACGGTTTTAGGCCATCCCCCGCCAGAGATCAGATGGAACATTCCTGGTGGAAAGGTGAGTCCAAGGCCTGGCAAACCGGCAGTTCGATCCTGACTGGCTCAAGGTTGACTCAGCCTTCCATCCTTCTGAGGTTGGTAAAAATAAGGACCCAGATTGAGCCAGTTCACCCACTTCGGCAGAACCGGTAGCCAATTTTTGGTTGCCCAGGCCCAGAATGGACTTCCGGAAGCGGCATCCACACAGAGAACCGATTGTTCACCTATCTGAATCCCACCACTCCCTCCTTCCTTCCTTCCTTCCTTCCTTCCTTCCTTCCTTCCTTCCTTCCTTCCTTCCTTCCTTCCTTCCTTCCTTCCTTCCTTCCTTCCTTCCTTCCTTCCTGTGGTGGGATTCAGCCAATTCACACCACTTCGGCAGAACTGGTAGCTAATTTTTTGTTGCCCAGGCCCAGAATGGACTTCTGGAAGCGGCATCCACACAGAGAACCGATTGTTCACCTATCTGAATCCCACCACTCCTTCCTTCCTTCCTTCCTTCCTTCCTTCCTTCCTTCCTTCCTTCCTTCCTTCCTTCCTTCCTTCCTTCCTTCCTTCCTTCCTGTGGTGGGATTCAGCCACTTCGCATCACTTCGGCAGTACCAGTAGCTAATTTTTGGCTGCCCAGGCCCAGAATGGACTTCCAGAAGTGGCATCCACACAGAGAACTGGTTATTCCCATATTCAAATCCCACCACTGGTAGAAATGCATGGAAATCTGCAAATCCCTTTTTTTAAATCTCCCTCCAGGCTGCAGTGAAACACTCTGCAAATAAGTATGTTGCTGAATTGTTAGTGGAACTGGACCCCACGCTAATCCAAAGCGGTGTTCAGTGCACGGCAGAGAACAAGTACGGCGTGGCCAAAAAGAACCTGCAGCTGAAATTGGGTAAGAAACTCCTTTTTCGTTCCTGTGTGCCTGCAGTTGTGGGTATGCATGGGTGTGCTGTAGGTGGGCAGAATTTTCAGGTGCAGGCGCCAGTCCTCGACTTACAACTGTTCATTTAGTGACCGTTCAAAGTTATAGCAGCCTTTTAAAAAGTGACTGAGGAGCATTTTTCACACTTAACGACCGTTGCAGCCTCCCTAGCGTTGTGCGATCAAAATTGGCAATTGACTCATATTTACGACAGCTGCAACTTCCCTGGGGCAAATATCCTGATTCTGGATCTCAGAGGTTACATGAGTTTAGCTTAAGAGTTTCTCAACTTTGGCAACTTTTAAGAGCTGCCGACTCCCAGAATTCCCCAGCCAGCATGCGTCGACTTCAACTCCCAGAATTCCAAGGGACTCAAAGTCCACATGCAGGGTGGTCCTTGACTTAAAACTACAGCTGGGACTGGAACGTTGGCCACTAGGTGAGGCTGTTCTTAAGCGAGATGCGCCCGATTTTATGATCTCTGCTTGCCCTGGTCACTAAGCGACTCACCCTGGTTGTTAAGCAAGTCGCATGGTGGCTAAGCAAATTCAGCCTGCCCTATTGACTTTGATGGCGGTCACATGTTCCTGGGACGCTGCAAATGTCATAAATACAGGGTGGTTGACCGGTGCCTGAAATTTTGACCACGGGGATGCTACAATCGTCATAAGTCGAGGATTACCTGTATCTTACAAGTTGCCACGATCGAGAAAAGCCTAGTTAGACTTTTTTTGGGGGGGGGCGGTGAACTTTGCTAACCAATTTATCTCTCCTTGTAGTTTCTCCAACGCCATCTGTCTCTCCGAAGCCAGCTGGTAAGTATTTCTCTTTCTCCATTTCTGTCCACGTGAATAAAAAAAAAGAGGGGGGTTCAGGATGATGGGAGTCGTAGTCTAATGTAGCTGAGGAAAACCCCAAGTTAGGGAAGGCACTTCCGGATAGCCACGGTAGGAAGTCCCGGCTCTGGTTATGCTTCTTGCATTCTTCTGCCCTCAGCCAAGGACCGGATCTGGCCCCAAATTCTTCTCTGGTTTTACGGAGGCCCCTTTTTCTCTCCCCAACAGCGGAGGAGGAACAGGGTCAGACCGGAAGCACGGTGGCGGTGATTGCGGTGTGCGTCTGCGTCCTTCTCTTGCTCCTGATCGTGGGCTTCTTCTACTTCATGCAACGCCGAGGCCAGTTGCCCTGCAGCCGGGGAGAGAAAAGATCGCTGTGAGTGGCCCCTTCGCCCTTGGCGGCCCAAATGGGCCGTTCCAAGGTTTTCGTGCCCCCCTGGGTAGCAGTTTCCCAGAAAATTCCTCTAGGCATGGGAAGAGAGGAGAGGAAAAAAGGGAGAAAGGAGAGCAGAGGGGAAGGGACGGGAGAGGGGGAAGAGAGAAGTGGAGGAGAGAGGGAGGAACGGAGGGAGGGGAAGAGAAGAGAAGGGAGGAGAGGGGAAAGGGAGGGGGAGAGGAAAGGGAGAAGAGGAGAAGGGAGAGAACATAGGTGAGGAGAAGGGAGGGGCGGAGGAGGAGAGGCAGGGAAGGGGAGGGAGGGAGGGCAGGAGAGGAGAGAGAAAGGTGAGAGGGAGGGAGGGAAGAAAGGAGGGGTCAATGGAAGGGAAAGAGGGAAGAGAGGAGAGGGAGGGAAGGAGAGATCAAGGGAAGGGAGGGAGGAGAGGGGAAGGGAAGGTAGAGAGTGAAGAGGAGAGGGAAAGGGGAGGGAAGGGAAGGGAGGGGAGAGAGAGAGGGAAGGTCAAGGGAAGGGAGAGAGGGAGGAGAAGAGAGGGAAAGGGGGAGGGGAGAGAGGGAACGGAAGGGAGAGGAGGAGGAGAAGAGAGGGAAAGGGGAAGGGAAGGGAAAGGAAAGAGAGAGGGAGGAGAGGAGAGGGAGGGAAGGAGGGAAGGGAGGGAGCGAGCAGAGGGGAAGGGAAGGTAGAGAGTGAAGAGGAGAGGGAAAGGGGAGGGAAGGGAAGGGAGGGGAGAGAGAGAGGGAAGGTCAAGGGAAGGGAGAGAGGGAGGAGAAGAGAGGGAAAGGGGAAGGGAGGGGAGAGAGGGAACGGAAGGGAGAGGAGGAGGAGAAGAGAGGGAAAGGGGAAGGGAAGGGAAAGGAAAGAGAGAGGGAGGAGAGGAGAGGGAGGGAAGGAGGGAAGGGAGGGAGCGAGCAGAGGGGAAGGGAAGGTAGAGAGTGAAGAGGAGAGGGGAAGGGAAGGGAAGGGAGGGGAGAGAGGGAGGGAAGGAGCGGTCAAAGGAAGGGAGAGGGAGGAGAGGAGAGGGAAAGGGGAAGGGAGAGGAGAGAGGGAAGGGAAGGGAGAGGAGAGGAGGAGGAGAAGAGAGGGAGGAGGAGAGAGGGGAAGGAAAGGGGAGAGGAGAGAGGGAGAAGAGGAGACGAGTGACCCAAGAGAAGAGACAAGACTTGGGCACCTTAACCGCTTGTATGTCTTTGGCTCCAATAAATATAATATTTCATTCTGGCTTTTTGACAAGTTCTGAGCTTTCTTCACGCATTACCGGCCTATGCAACATCATCAGTGCAAGAGGGGAATGCATTGGCTGGCTGTTTCTATACCACAAGTGCTTGGTTAAGATGTGGCTTCTTCCTTAAGGTTTAAGATAACTAGTTGGTTTAAGATAACTAGCTGGTTTAAGATAACTAGCTGGTTTAAGATAATTAGCTGGCAGGGAGCACAGAAAAGGATGAAAAAAACAACAACACCTGGCAACTCCCCAGACTGACGCTTGCTGGGGGGTCACAGAACATCTGACGGTTCTAATTGTCTTTTTTTAAAAAAAATAATACATACTAGTTTAGCCTGGTCAAACCAGCTTACGGAGGGGGAAAGCTGCTGTATCCTGTTGCAATGCTTGCTTGCCCATGGGGGGGGGGTGTTGATTTTGGCTTGAAGGACACGTGTAGCATTAGAGGATCGTTTTCTTCTGCTTCAGGACCCCCAAGGAAGGGACCCCAGAGAACACCGTGGTGGAGATGAAGGCTGACAGGCGGAACGAGCAGACGGGCTTGCTGAGTCCCGGAGGAGGCGGTGGAGGAGGAGGAGGAGGAGGGGGGACGAACGAGGTGAGGAGGGGGCTGGTGGGCCAGCCATAAGAATCCCCTGCCCTTTAAGCTTCAGAGTTTCAGCCTTTCGCAAGGATAGGCAACCTTGGCTCTTTTATGACTGGTGGACTTCAACTCCCAGAATTCCTGAGCCAGCCGTGCTGAGGGAAAAGGGAGAGGTTTCCAAGCTGAGCCCTGCTGGCTCAGGAATTCTGGGAGTTGAAGTCCACCAGTCATAAAAGAGCCAAGGTTGCCTACCCCTGGCTTATACCCTGTGTTTGCCCGAAAATAAGACTGGGTCTTATACTAATTTTTGCTCCAAAAGATGCATTAAGGCAGGGATAGGCCACCTTGGCTCTTTTATGACTCGTGGACTTCAACTCCCAGAATTCCTGAGCCAGCCGTGCTGAGGGGAAAGGGAGAGGTTTCCAAGCTGAGCCAGGCTGGCTCAGGAATTCTGGGAGTTGAAGTCCACCAGTCATAAAAGAGCCAAGGTTGCCTACCCCTGGCTTATACCCTGTGTTTGCCCGAAAATAAGACCAGGTCTTATATTAATTTTTGCTCCAAAAGATGCATTAAGGCAGGGATAGGCCACCTTGGCTCTTTTATGACTCGTGGACTTCAACTCCCAGAATTCCTGAGCCAGCCATGCTGAGGGAAAAGGGAGAGGTTTCCAAGCTGAGCCAGGCTGGCTCAGGAATTCTGGGAGTTGAAGTCCACGAGTCGTAAAGCGACCTAGGCCTAGGGCAGGGGTAGGCAACTTTGGCTCTTTTATGACTGGTGGACTTCAACTCCCAGAATTCCTGAGCCAGCATGGCTCAGTGTGGAAACCTCTCCCTTTCCCCTCAGCATGGCTGGCTGAGGAATTCTGGGAGTTGAAGTCCACCAGTCATCAAAGAGCCAAGGTTTCCCCAGCCTGTCCTGGGCTCTCCAGCATAGCTAATGGCTGAGGAGAGGGTGTAAGGGCTGCTGTCTTCATGGTGAGATCATCAGGCTGATGCTGTGAATTCTATAATCTGAGTTCTGAGTCAAGAGGACATCAGGACGTAATGGGGCAACATTGGGGGGGGGGCCTCAAGTTCCCAGAATTCTCAGCAATGGCCAAGCGGCTAGGGGAATCCTGGGAACTGAAGCCCATATGTCTGCTGCTGGCAGGATTGGGGAAAGAAGAGATTGGGCAGTGCAAAGGAAGACTACGGAGTGTGAATTAATGCTGTCTTTTCTTCCTTCTTCTTTCCTTCGCTCCCTTCCCTCCTTCCTTCATTTGCTCTTCCCTCTCTCCCTTTTTCCTTCCTTCCTTCCTTCCTTCCTTCCTTCCTTCCTTCCTTCCTTCCTTCCTTCCCTCCCTCTTCAACATTCTCCTCCTTCCTTTCCTCTCTCCCTTTTTCCTTCCTTCCTTCCTTCCTTCCCTCCCTCCCTCTTCAACATCCTCCTTCTTCCCTCTCTCTCTTCCTCCTTCCATGCCTTCATTCTTCCCTCTTCAAAATTCTCCTTCCCTCTCTCTCCCTCCTTCCATGCCTTCCTTCCTTCCTTCCTTCCTTCCTTCCTTCCCTTTTCCAAATCTTTCTTCCTTCCTTCCTTCCTTCCTTCCTTCCTTCCTTCCTTCCTTCCTTCCTTCCTTCTTCAAAATCCTCCTTCTTTCCTCCTTCCTTCTCCTTCTTTCCTCCCTCCTTTCCTCTCTCCCTTCCTTTTTCCAAATGTATCTACCTTCCTTCCTTCCTTCCTTCCTTCCTTCTTCAAAATCCTCCTTCTTTCCTCCCTCGTTCCCTCCCTCCCTCCCTTCCTTTTTCCAAATCTTCCTTCCTTGCTTCCTTTTCCCAAATGTATCTTCCTTCCTTCCTTCCTTCCTTCCTTCCTTCCTTCCTTCCTTCCTTCCTTCCTTCCTTCCTTCCTTCCTTCTTCAAAATCCTCCTTCTTTCCTCCCTCCTTTCCTCCTTCCCTCCCTTCCTTTTTCCAAATCTTCCTTCCTTGCTTCCTTTTCCCAAATCTTCCCCCCTCCCTCCCTCTCCTCTTCCCTTCCCTCCCTTGCAGTGCTGAGCAGAAGGAAGGCTGGTCTTCTTCCAGGGGAGGCCCCTTCCCATTCTGTACCGCCCACCATGGATGGAGAAGATGCTGGAGATCCTGCCAGGGCATGACAGCCCCCTCCCTCCTTTTCTCCTTCCCTCCCTCCTTCCCTCCCCCTGGGGGGCAGGGAGCTTTCTTTGCACCTAGACTTTTGTGGCTGGAGGGGAAGAGCTGAGCTATTCTGCCACTACTTCTTCCTCCTTTAAAACAAAAAACAAAAAAAACCCCACGTTTTTGGGTGATGTTTGTTTTGCTTTGTTTTTTTTTTTTTAAAAAAAGGAACTGACATTTATCTGGACAGAGGCTCCCTTTCTGGGCTCCAGCATTTCCTAAATAAAGTCGCCCACAGACACATTGATGTCACCCAGACAAACCAACTTTGCGGAAGTTGCTAACCCGTCGGTTTTTGATGTTCTTCTTTTTTTTTTGAAACCAACTTTCAGCCAGCCCATCTCTGCCAGTTACCTACGAGCGAAAATGAACTGTGTTTTGTTAACCTACCGCTCCCTCACTTCAAAGGCAGTCACGCTTGCCACAATCCTTTGTCTTCTCGCCTTGTGTAAATTTACCCATTTTCCTGAGACTCGTACATCTCTCTAGCAAGCATCCTCCCAGTCCTCCTGGTAAAACTAGCCAGCATTGGAACGGTTTGCCTCCAGAAGTTGTGGGTGCTCCATCACTGGAGGTTTATAAGAAGAGACTGGGGAGTCTTTTGTCTGGAATAATATAGGGTTTCCTGCTTGAGCAGGGGGTTGGACTAGACCAGGGCTTTTCAACCTTTTCACCCATTGTACCATTTTTAGGATATGGCAACATCTGAGTACCACCAGTCGCCTAGCAAGGTGTCAAAAACTTGATGACCAAAAAAAGGAAAAAAGTGATGAAGTACAGGTAGTCCTCGACTTACAACAGTTCGCTTAGTGACTGTTCGAAGTTACAATGGCATTGAAAAAAGTGCCCCCCGAGCCACAGCCGAGCAAGACACCTGCCTGCCCACCCAGCGGCGCTCTTCCTCCTGTCCGAGGTTTTTATTGTTGTGAGCATTTCTGTTGAGGATTGGCAGCGGGGGTGGGATGGGGGGTGTTTGGTTTTTATTCCCCCCCGTCTGCTGGTTGGTTGCAGCAGGTTTTGGTCACTTCACATGACCCTGACACTGTGACCGTCATAAATATGAATCAGTTGCCAAGCATCTGAATGTAAATCACAAGACCCTGGAGATGCTGCAATATTCCAGCTGATCGGCGCTTCTTCTGGGCTCAGGAGAAGCGCCAGGATCAGTGCTGCTTTTCAGCTGATTGGTGCTTCTTCAGGGCTCAGCAGAAGCACCAGGATCAGCGCTGAGCTCCAGCTGGAGCCTGGTGCTGATCCCGGCGCTTCTGCTGAGCCCTGACAGCCCTGCAGCTCCAGCCATCTCTCACTCAGGCTTGTGCGGTGCCACCGGTTCAGCTCATTCCCCCCCCCCTACTACTTTTCTAGGATGGTCGCGTACCACCTGCCAGGTGCCAATGTACCACAGGTGGTACCTGTACCACTGGTTGAAAAGGCCTGGACTAGATGACCTCCAAGGTCCCTTCCCATTCTGTTATTCTGTATTCATCTGTCACACTAGTGCGGGACCAGGTGACTAGGTCCCCTTTAGGACCTGTGGACTTCAACTCCCAAAATTCATAGTTTAGACCAGGGGTCTCCAAACTTGACAACTTTAAGACTTGTGAACTTCAGCTCCCAGAATTCCTCAGCCACCCATGGGAATTCTGGGAGTTGAAGTCCACAGGTCGTAAAGGGAATATAGCTGCCCTTCCTCTGCATTTGAGCATCACCAGCTTTGAAATTCAGCCTCTGTTTACCGATAATCTGATCCATCAAAGGAACGATCCATTAAAAAGAGCGATAAACGTTCCTCCAGTACGTCTAGTCCTTGACTTAATGACAGTTTGTTTAGTGATTGTTCAAAGCTACAACAGCACTGAAAAAAAGTGACTTAAAACCATTTTTCACACTTTTGACCGTTGCGGCCTCCCCAGGGTCCTGGGGTTTACAGTCAGATTCTTGACAACTGCTTCATATTTGTGACGGTCGCAGCGTCCCGGGGTCACGCCATCCCCTTTTGCGACCCCCTTCTGACCAACAAAGTCCCTGGGGGAAGCCAGATTCACTTAGCGACCACATTACTAACTTTATCAGCTGCAGCGATTCCCTTAGCAGCTGTCGTAAAACGGGGCAAAGCTCACTTAACGAATTCCTCACTTAACAACATAAAATTCGGAGCTCAGTTGTGGTAAGTCGAGGACTACCTGTTTAGGCGATTCCATACATCGTCGATCCTCCGTTGAGGAGGACCTTTTGGCTCTTCTATGGCTTGTGGACTTCAAGACCCAGAATTCCCGAACCAGCCATGCTGACTCAGGAATTCTGGGAGTTGAAGTCCGCAAGTCATGAAAGAGCCACGGTTGTTTACCCCTGGGGTAGAGTTCAAAGTCAAACGGGATGAAAGGTATGATATTCTTTTTTTCCTGAGTCCATTGCAGGGCTGTGCAATCCCTGTGCTTTTTTCCCCCCCCCCCACCCTCCATGGCAATGCTATCATTTTATCCTGACTCGCAATCAACCGAGTGTAGTAGCCAAGAAAAGTGGTTTTTGTCTGCGCTTATTCCCTGCTCTGTCTCCTGGTTTCTGTTTTGTATAGCTTATTGGCTTCAGGGCTTTGGGGAAGGGTCTTTTCAAGCTGAAGGTAGGGGAGGGGGCTTCCGGCTACAGAATCCCTTTCTTTAAAGCAGTGTTTCTGAACCTTGACCATTTTAAGGAATGTGGACTTCAACTCCCAGAATTCCACAGCCAGCATCACTGGCTGTGGAATTCTGGGAGTTGAAGTCCACATGCCTTAAAATGGTCAAGGTTGAGAAACACTGCTTTAAAAGATGGCTGGGGGACAGACAATGTATTGTATTTTTGTGTTCTCTCGATGTCTCTGCTCCCCAGAGGGGTGCCCGTGCTTGTCCCTTATCGACATGGGGGGGCATTTGAAGCCGCCCAATCTCTGTGTTGTTGTTTTTTATTTACAGGGCACCGTTTTGTGTGTATGGCAAAATCTCCTGGGAATAAATGCGTTTTTCAGGGTTGTGATCTCTCTGTGGTTCTCAAACCCTGCGTTTCCAAAACCTGGGGGACTTTTAAGATGAGTGGACTTCAACTCCCAGAAGGCTGGGGAATTCTGGGAATTGAAGTCCACCCATCTTAAAATCCCCCAGGTTGGGAAACACTGCCCTAATCCCTGTGATATGTCACTGCCTTTCTCTCTTGCACTGTCTGGTCGAGACACTGGTGGGGATGGAGTGGGGTGGGGGGTGAATATTGGGGCTTTTTCTTATAATTAGATACCTTTAATGGTGTTGCAGCCTAGAACAGAATGAAGCTGGGAGCTAGGGCACAGCACGGTGGAGAATAGTAGGCTAGGAGACGGGGCCCAGTGGCTTTTCAAAAAAGCATTTTAAAAAAGCACCGGAAGCTGGATATTTTACAAGTTTCACCTTGAATGGCAGCTGGAATATTCCTCTTTGCCCCTCTGGCCTTCCAGATGTGGCTGCTGGGCTTCCGTCCCCAGCAACCACTAGGCAGGCCAGCTGGGAAATGTAGTTTATTAGCACCCAACTAGGAAGGATTGCTATCACTTGCCCAAAGTTTTAAAAGGGCCTAAGCCTCGTGGCAATCTTGGCCTCTTCTCTTTCCACCGACTGCAAAGTCCAGGCTGCTCCCGTTAAAATATAAAGTAGCAACTTTCCCATCCTTCTCCTGGCGCCCTTTTGAGAAATTTTGATTATTTGGCCACGGCTTTCTGGATGTTTGCATCCATTGGGAAGAGAGAGGGATTAAATGGCCCTTCAAAGGATTTTTTTTAGCCGTCTCCAGGGTGGGGATTCCTCTGCAGACCAAGGCAGAGGAACCGATCACTTTAATGGCTATGGAGATCCATAGGTCAATCCAGGTCATGGTTGTCCTAAAGAAGCTTCCCCCCCCCCCGCTCAAAAAAAGACAGTCAGAACGGAAGAAGCTTCTTGGATGAGAAGCGAAACGTCTTCATGGGAAAATAAAGTCCACTTGCCTTTTGAAAAAGCACCTTTGGGAGGATCCACCAGTTGGCATCTTAGCAGCCTTCCATCCTCTGGGCTGCCTGATCCTACCACCCTGTGCCATGGCTCCCGCACCGCCGTTCGGATGTTTCTACTTTCTACAGCCTTTGCCAGGTTATGCTGTACGTTAGCCATTAAAAAAAAAAAAAAGATTATAACCTCTATTTGACTCCTGAATCTTGGTGTCTCTGCGCGGGATTCATCTCCCGCATATCGGATGCGACTCGGAGCGGCTAAACGACCCGATCCCACCCCTGTCAGAGCCCACAAAAGAAATCCCTTCCGAGGCTGGCCTTCGTCTCAACCTTGGAAGGAAACGACAAGTCGTAGAACTAAGGAGAAACTTCCTGACAGTTAGAACAATTAACCACCTGCCTCCAGAAGCGGTGAATGCTCCAACACTGGAAGTTTTTAAGAAGAGACTGGACAGCCACTTGTCCGAAATGGTATAGGGCAGTGGTGGCGAACCTATGGCACGGGTGCCAGAGGCGGCACTCAGAGCCCTCTCTGTGGGCACATGCGCGCCGTCACCCCAGTCCTAGGCCTTCAGCTGGGTTTTATAAAACTTTTTTGCTTTAGGCCTCCACCGCCGTATGCAAAAAAAAAAAAGTAAAGGTTCAATCAGTCAATTTCAACTCGCAGGAAAAAAAAAGATCTTGCAAAGTTGGAATTGATTGATTGAATTTTTTAGTCCCACCCAGCCTGCCGTTACCACCGCAGCCACGCCCACCCAATGGGCCACACCCACCCAATGGGCCACGCCCACCCGGCACTCGACGATGCATATGTGAGTTTTGGGTTGCGGTTTGGGCACTCAATCTCTAAAAGGTTCGCCATCACTGGTATAGGGTTTCCTGCCTGAGCAGGGGGTTGGACTAGATGACCTCCAAGGTCCCTTCCAACTTTATCATTATTATTATGTTGTTGATTTTCTCCTTATTTTCCCTTCTCCCAACAAAAGGATGTCTGCCATTGTACAGGTGGCCCTTGACTTACAGCCACTCATTTAGTGACTGTTCAAAGTCACAACGGCACTGAAAAAAGCATCCCCAGAGTCACGCGATTTACATTCGGATGCTTG